CCAAAAAAAAGAAGAAGAAAAGTGGGGGTCCTTGGACTGCACCCAAATGAGAAGAGCCAACCAGCCCCCTGGCCCCCAGCCTGTCTCTTATACACATCTAGATGTGAAGGTCTCCCCCCCCCTACCCCCCCCAAAAAAAAGAAGAAGAAAAATCAAGTAAAAAACTTTTGCCTCAGGGTCACATTGAAATTGTTCAATAAATTTAAAATAAAAAATAAAATTAAAAAGTTTATTTTTATTTTTATTATTATTTTGTTTTTTTGCCCGGCCGGGCAAATGACCCCGGACCACTCTAATAGCCTAGCCCTAAACATTTTTTCCCAACCTTAATGTCAAGGAAAATACATTGATTCATTCAATTTGCTTCTTAATAGTAATTTTAAGATTTACAGGTAAATGAGGTGGTAGGGAATCATTACAACTTTGATGGTTGAAACTTAATGGGAAATATAAAGTGTTAGAAAGGTACTATAACACAACCCAAAAAAACACTCTATATATGTGCGTGTATTTACATGTCTGTATGAGAGTGTGTGCGGGTTTAAATTTGTGTGTGAGGGAATGTGCGTATATGGGTTTCAATGTATGCATGTGAGAAAGATATAAAACGGTTTGACAAAAATAAATAAAAATTATGGTTGAGATGGTCAAAGTGCTTCGAAAAAACTTCCTCGCTCATAATGTGTCACATCGTACGATAAGTTACACTTGTCATACAAGTCAGTGTGGATACTGCACAAAACTATATCTTGATTTATTTCTATCATAAATTGTGCAAGGACATCCGTTCATATTGAAACAATGTAGAGAGCATGGGTTTATTGAGAAGAGTGTGTTCATGCAAGTATTCTCTCTCTCTCTCTCTCTCTCTCTCTCTCTCTCTCTCTCTCTGACACACACACACACACACAGCAATCGGATTGATTGAACAGTCAGTCGTAATCTCATGCACGTAAAAGGGAGGGCTCTCTCTCTCTCCCTCCCTCCCCTTTACGTGCATGAGATTACGACTGACTAGTCAATCAATTCGATTGCTGTGTGTGTGTGTGTCACACACACACACACAAAGAGAGAGAGAGAGAGAGAGAGAGAGAGAGAGAGAGAGAGAGAGAGAGAGAGAGAGAGAGAGAGAGAGAGAGAGAGNTTTTTTTTTTTTTTTTTTTTTTTTTTTTGTTTTTGCCAGAGTCGGTCCGTGATCCCGTGGTGTTGTCCGGACATTCCTTGCCGGCTGCCAGAACCTGGGTACTAGATTCTTCTTCTTCTCACAGCACGAAAAATGTTTTGCGCGCTTTTTGTTTTGTTTTTTGGGCGGCGGTGGGAGGACGGGGGCCACGCGAGGCGGACGGGGGAAGGGGGCTACCTGCAATGTGCTCGTGCAGGTGAAGCGCAATAAGTGTTTTTATTAACTTTTAACTTTTAAAATATTTTTTTGAATCGCCCGATTGACGAATACATGTAGTGTAGGTGTGGGAAGTTGACGGGAACTAATAAAACTTAGCATTCTCCGAAAGCTTAAACGTGGTGCGATATTTACTTGGCGTGATATAGGAAGCGTTCTCGGATTACCATTGGTCCTTCCCATAACTTTGGATGACAAATTGTTTTTTGGGGGGGGTTAACTATTGGAGGTCTAAAAGATCGATTTGTTTTTCTTTCTTGTTGGTGGTGCTGATTTTGGAAAGGAGCTCATGCTGATTTAGGAAGAAGGCAAGTTAGACCAGTATTCATTCTGCTATGTTATTGCAGCAGCAGGGATTGTCAGGGAACGTGGCAACTGACCGGTTATCGAACGGCCAGAAAGCAACGATAAGGAATGGGGTAGCAGGTCTTCTGCTTTGCTGCCCATGAAAACAGGCACAGAGAGAGAGAGAGAGAGAGAGAGAGAGAGAGAGAGAGAGAGAGAGAGAGAGAGAGAGAGAGAGAGCTGTTTCTGATGGTTCCGTTCTGTCTCAATCAAAACGAATATATAAAAGAACGACACTGAGGGCCAGGTGGTGTGCAACGGCGAAAAGGTTCGCACGAAAGGACGAAGCCCAAGGCCAGCTCGTGCTAGACGAAACAAGAACGACACCCAGGGCCAGGTCGTGCGTGCTATACAATACGAGTCCACCACACGGGGTGGCCTCTTCTACGGCCCACGGCCAGAACATGCATATTCTTTCAAACCCACTCTCACACCCCTGACCACAGCCTCACAAACTTTTCTGGCAAGAGAGCGGCCCTAAAGTCTATGGGGTCCGAAGCGTAAAGACCATACAAACCCAACCGGTACCGCTACTAAGTCATTGTTCACACCTGTAAACCCGCGATAGCGCGGGTCGTCCGAACAAAATTTTACACGAGTCTTGGGTTCGGACTCCGCACCCCGTATAGCACCCTTTAGGGCTGCGACTTACTAGACGATGGCATGCGAAAGACGTGGGTTTGCTGGCGTATATGCAGCGAAGTGGCTCATTCCCGACTAAGTACAAGGGCCACGTGTCGGGAAGAGTGAGTGAGTGAGGGAGTGAGTGAGTGAGTGAGTGTTGTTTGATTTGATTCCATAGATAGACTGACCAAGAGAAACGAACGGCAAGAACCTCCTCCTCCTCATGACAATCATGGCGGCGCAATAGCCGACCGTGATGTTTCTTTCCTCGGTCGCAGAAAGTGCAATCTTTCTTGGAAGGGAAAAAACGACGATCCCACTTGTCACACACTTAGTGAGTGTGGTAAGCTGCCACTAGTCACACAGTTTCTGTCACATTGCCTCTCTCTCTTTCTCTTTCTCTCTCTCTCTCTCTCTCACTTTTGTCACATTTTGTCATTTTTGTCACACTTTCGTCTCGTCACATTTGGCGGTTCTTGAACAAGATCTCGCTCTTCTCGTCCATACTCTCTCTCTCTCTCTCTCTCTCTCTCTCTCTCTTTGTTTCGTCTTCTCTGTGTAATCTTTCTCTGGGTTTGAACTCTCTTGCTCGTCTCGTCTCAGAACGAAGGAGATTCAGAGAGAGACCAGAGATATCCGTGGGAACGATCCACATCGGAAGAAGATAGACTAATATATATACTGTTTGTGACGATATATATATATTTATATACGTACATGTATATCGGAAGCGGGAGAGTTTTAGATCAAAATCGCCAGAGTCAGATAGAAAGAGAGCTGAGATAGAGACAGACAAGAAGAGAGGTGGAGTGTCGGACGTGTAGAGAAGCCATTTGCCGGCTGAGCCATTTGCCGGCTGAGGTATACGCGGTAATCTGAAGATCAGGAGGATCGACGACTAGGGAGCTCTCTCTCTCTCTCTCTCTCTCTCTCTTTCTCTCTCTTTCTCTCTCTCTCTCTCTGTTTCTCTCGTTTTCTTGATTTCGACCTGGCTGAGAAACGCGATCGTGTTAAAAAGAGCGGGAAGTAAATTCCCTGTGGAAATGCGGAGAATGGCTAATCTGATGAGACGACGCAGCGGCGGCGAGACGTCTGGCGGGAGCATATTGCAGCACGGCGCTCTCCCTCCTTGTTTTGCAAAGTCAATGCAGTTTGAAGAGGACGAGGGCTCACAACATCCGTCGGATCTAGACGCATCGGAGTGGTGTCTGTCTTCCGATAGTTCCTCTGCGGGGGTAGACGAAGCCAAAGAGAACATGGCTTTGTCGTTTGCCACCAAAACGCACTCCATCGCGATCGTCTTGACCAGCGATGGCGGCAGACCAGGCGGCGGTCCGTTGGTCCATCGTCAAGTGCTTCAGCCGCGCAAATTGGGAGAGGGAGGGAGTGGAGGCCAAGAAACGCTGATTGTTGGTCAACGTTGTGGCGACGTCGAAATGACGGACGATGAGGACGACGACGACGACGAAGAAGAAGACTTTGACGAAGACGACGAAGACGATGAGGAAGGGGGGGAGGAGGAGGAGGAGGAGTCTGAAGAAGAAGAAGAGGAGGACGAAAACGATGGTAAAGAGAACATCGAAGTTGCCGAAGAGCTAGCGCTCGGTCGCGACGTCGGGAGCTCCAGCGGAGGAGAGAAGAAGAGGAAGTGGGCGACGTTTCTACAAATCGACGAAAAAAAGATGGGAACGGAGGAGGAGGACGGCTGGTTCTCTGGGAGGAGGGTGGTGAGACCGGCACTTGAACTGAAGAGCAGTTGTGATTGGATTCTGCGTGGTGGTGCTTTTCAGAAAGGCGATGATTCAGACAACAAGCCTAGGGAGGGTGAGGAGGAGGAGCAGAAGAAGGAGAGGGAGGAGGAGGGAGAAGTGTTAAGGCTTGGGACAAGTGTCGGGGTGGGGACAACGCCTACTAGTAGTGGAGGAGGAACCAAGAGGAAATTCCAGACGATGGCCAAGGAGGAGGGGGGGGTAGGCGGCGGGAAAGAATGCGGGCGGAGAGGTTTTCCTCCTGGAATTGGGGTTGCGTTAGGAGTTGGAGTTGGGGGGCAAGTGGGAGGCGTAGAGGATGCTGCACAAACCTCATGGGGAGATGGTGGTGCCGTAGAGGATGACGAGTCTCTTGGGAAGGAGAAAGTACCCAAGAAGCTCCAGCTTGCGACAGCTTCGGCCTCGGTATTGCCGATGGAATACCTGTCGAGAGAGGCTGAGTCTGCCTACATTGACACACTGGGCAAGGAGGTTGTACGAGGAGGAGGAGGAGGAGGAGGAGGGGATGTATCTTCCTCTCCCACGGATGCAGGATCAAACTCCTCGAAAGTGGTGTTAGGAGTACTGAGTTGCCGAAGAGGAGATTGGACGTCCCTGGAAAGCTGCTCAAACGAAGGGGGGGTAGAGGATAGGGAGACTCACACAAAAGGGGAGAGCGAGGGTGGTGGTGGTGGCTTGGGGGTGATCGAGTCGAAGCGAAGTGTCTTAGCACTGCTCCCGTTGCTTCCACCCCCTCCTCCTCGGTCTTCCTCTCCTCCTCGTTCTTCTTGTCCTCCTCTCCTTAACTTCCCCATCTCCCGCAGCATAGGTGGTGTCGATGATGGCGCTCCTTGTTCGACTGGCATCATCACCCCGAGTACCGACGGCATTGTCCCTGTGCAAGCAGGAGCAGGAGGAGGACGAGGAGTAGGAGGAGGAGGAGGAGGAGGAGAAGCCGCAGGAGGTGATGCGGCAGAAACGGCGGCAGAGTCGTCGGATTTCTCGGTTGTTTGCAGTGAGGAAGATCTGGAGTGCTTGGTCCCGACCCCGATCCATGGCAGAGGCGTCGAGGCCCTGTCGATCCCGCCGACATCTCATGTTCTTCCTCACTCTGCTGCTGCTGGCTATGGCGGTCGGGATCTGTTGTCCGTCGCCGTCGGCATTCTTAACGCCGCCGCTGCTGCTGGCATTCACGCTTCTACGGGTGATCTCTGCGTCGCCGATGGCTATGGCGTTGGCGATGGAGATGGTCAGGAGGCCGAAGAAGTCGGTGGTCATCTACGGCTATACGAGGGATCGAGCGTGCGTCTTCTTAGCTCTACCATCTCCCCATCTTCTTCGGTACCTGCGGAAGAACGGAGCGCGCGAATCAATTCTACGGCGGCGGACAGCAGCGCCACTTCCAGTTGTGTTGTAGAAGACGATCGATATCACTCGGGCAACAACAACGCTGAGCCTGCCCGAAGTGATGGCTATGGAGTAGCTGGCGATGGCCATCATTATCAAGTTGGGTCTTCACCGTGTGAAGGAGGAGGACGTCGATCTTCGCAGCTGTGTCTTGACTCGGATGGTGCTGCTAGTAATTCCCGCCGCCGATGTTCTTCTTGGACTTGTACGTCTTTTCAATCAATGCAGGCGACGACGGAAGGGCAAAACTCAAAATACCTGGTACGAGCAACATTTTTTTTTTTTTTTTTTTTCTTTCTTTCTTTCTTTCCTGCTGCTGAATGTCTCCTGCCGTTGGTGCTCTTTGCCTTGTTATTGGGTATCGAAAAACGAAAAAGACATGCCGCCGTCGATGTTCTTCTTGAACTTGTACGTCTTTTCAATCAGTGCAGGCGACGACGGAAGGGCAAAACTCAAAATACCTGGTGCGAGCAACATATATATTTTTTTTCCCTCTTTCCTTTTTTTTTTTTTTTCTTTTTCTTTTTCTTTTTTCTTTCCTGGCCGAATGACCCCTGCCGTTGGTGCTCTTTGCCTTGTTATTGGGTATTGAAAAACGAAAAGACATGATCTGATCGTTCTCGGAAACTTCTCTCACCATTGCTTTTGGTCGGTTTCCAACGGGGAGAGTATGCGACTGCCAAGTTTTTATTTTTATTTTTATTTTTATTTATTTTTCTTTTTTTTCCAATAAAGCGACCGAAAACTTCTCGTACAAGGAGCGAGGAACATTCAGTAATAGTAAATTCCCCTCTTTTTTTTTGGGAATGTGACCCTTTCGCTTGGTATATTCTTCCTTCTTGGGAATTGAAAAACGTGCCTTGTCGTCTTCTATCGAAACTTGTAATTATGATCGGAGACGTCATCGAATTTTCCAATCATGATCGAATTTTATAATCAGTTTTTTTTTCTAGCCTATTAATCTCTCTCTCTCTCTCTCTCTCTTCTCTGTTTCTCTTTCTTTCTCTCTCTCTTTGTGACTGTCTTTTATAATTTCTCCTTTGTTTTTTCTCTTCTGATGGAATATTTCCTGATTGTTATGTTTATATTGTTAGTTATTTGTACTTTTTTTAACTTTAATTTGAGTACGAAAAGGAGATCTAATCGAGTTTTTTTTTTTTTCTGGGCCTAGATTTTTTTTTTTTTTTTTTTTGAGAGAGAACAACCCGATTGGGTGCTAGGTGTGCTGATAAGAGCAGACACCGTCGGGGAGGCTCCATCTATTGGTGGGGATTCATTGCGTAAGCTTCTTGCCGTTTATTTAAATGCATTCGTACGGGGATAACGTCGTCATAAAAAGACCCCCCCCAAAAAAAGCAACGACCAAAAGCACCTGCTTCCGCACACGAGCAACTTCGAATGAACGATAAAAGCCTACAGATCTGTTTTTTTTTTTAATTTTTTTTTTTTTAAGAACATACCTGTCTTTGTTGCTTGCGAATGAACGATAAAAGGCAACCGATCTCTAAAAAAAAAATAAAAAAAAATGAGCATACATGTGTGTGTTCCTTGAACGCATGACAAGCAAAAAGTGAGTGAAATACTCAACAATATGCCTGTATTTCACTCACTTTTTTTTTTTTTTTTTTTTTGTCCCGCTCCAGGAGGTGTATGGGAAAACCCTTAGCCGTCTCACCAACGTTTCACGGATTTTCGACTTTGTTTAAAATATGATTTCAACTGTTTTGTTTTCTGTTGTTCTATTTCGTAATTTCCATTTTTTCCGTTTCCCATGGTTCTTCTGCGTCCGTCCTTTCAATCCACCGTGTTTTTTTTTGGATCCAACGTCCGTGTTTGCTCTTTATTTTTGGGTCCGCAGTCCTTAAAAAAAAAAAAAAACTTTTTTGAATCCACCGCTCTTTTGATTGTAATACTAGGTGTCACGATCTGTCTTGACAGACCCGTTTGTTTCCCGCGCGCAAACTTGTCCCCCCTCCTTCGGCCGCTCCCTTTCCCCCTTACCTCTTCCGCTTAACAATAAATGTAATAAATTCAATAAAAAAATTTAATAAATTCAATAAAAATGTAATAAATTCAATAAAAAAATGTAATAAATTCAATAAAAATGTAATAAATTCAATAAAAAAATGAAATAAATTCATTAAAAAATGTAATAAATTCAATAAACAAATCAATTATTTCTCTGTTAGTGTAAATTTGCTGCAGCTGCTCTCTCCTCTTTGTCTTTTGATCCTTACATTTGTTTTTTTTGGTGGTCGTTTTTCACTTTGTCTTTTGATCCTTACATTTGTTTTTTTTTGGTGGTCTTTTTTTATTCCGTCTACTAACTCTGTGTTTCGCTGTTTCTTTCCTATTCTGTTGCTACATACGATTTGGGAAAAGAAAAAGAAAAAGAATGCACTGTGTATGTTTCTTTGTCTCGTCTTTTTTTTTGTTTTCTTCCGCTCCTCACGGATCTTTTCGTCTTGTTGTCTCTATTATTTGTTCTGTTATTCTTTTTTTCATTTTTAATAAAGTGATGATCTGTCATATTGGGCCGTGCCGCCGTTCCGTCGTCTTTTTTTTTTTTTTTTTTTTAAGCGTCTACGGCTCCCTAGTTAGCCTCTTACTGAATCCAACAGGGTTTTGAACATCGGATCTGTTTATTAACAATCGTTAGCTGTGTGTACCATTCACCCACATGGTTGTGTGAACGAATCTCCCCCCTCCGATCTCCTCCTACTACACCCCTACAGTGTTTTCCAATTTTTTTTTCCGTCTTGTCCGTTTTTTTCCCTTTTTTTTTCCGATTTTTTTCCGTGTTTTTTTTCCGATTTTTGACGGTGACTTCCCTCCATGTTCGTCTTTTTTTTAACGTCTTTTTTTTCGCCGGTTTTTTTTTTTTTTTTGTTTCATCGTTTCTTTGTTTCCGCCGTTTTTTTATTTTAACATTTTTTTATTTTCACCATCTTTTTGGTTCTTAACAGATCGCTTTCCTTCGTCAACAGCTGCTTCCGCTCCTCCCTCTCTCTCCCTCTCTCTCCCTCTCTCTCCCTCTCTCTCTCTCTCACCTTCCGATCCATCCTTTCGTTAGACCACACCCTAGCTGCTCTTGTCTTGGCAGCCGGGCTATCGCCTGAGTGATCCCCAAATTTTGTTAAGTATCCCTTTTTTAAAAGTTATATAATAAAAAACTCAGATGCAAAAATTACAGTACTTTAACAATACCTTTTTTTAAGAAAAAATAGGCTTTTACCAGTCCGCGTTTCATTTCCTCCCAGCTTTTCTTTTTATCCCTCGTCTCCCCCCCCCCCTCCTCCCCATTTGTTTTCCTGTCTTGGGTATGGTTCTTCGTTTATCCGCTCTCTCAGGCTCGTCATGACTTGTTTCTTTTTTTTTTTTGTAGTGACGCGTAATGTCGGGCCCGCATACTCGCACAAAGGACTTACTGGACTGAATTCTATGCATTTGCCCGTAATTGCAGTTTAATACGCGAGTCTGAGTAGAGGCCCATATCAGATGAATCTTTGTACTGCGGTCGAGTTTTTGAGTAAAGGCGGATCGGTGTCTTTTCTTTTTATTTCATTCTATTTGTCGTTTTTTTTTTTCATTATTTTCAGTTCGATCGTAATGTCCATTTTCACTATCTTCAGTTCGATCGTGTGTTATTACTTTTTCTGATCGTTATTCGACTTCGTTTTGACGGTTTTACTTTTGATGCGTTGTTGCCATTTTTTTTTCTTTTGTTTACCATTTCTTGATTTATTCGTGTCATCCTTTCGCAGGGCCTATGCTAATTTTCTTTTCTGTCCCGAATAACAAAAACTTTTTTTTTAATTGCCCCTGTTTCCATCTGGTGTGGGTGAGTGATAGTCTACTTTGATTTTGGTTAAGGTAGATTATCATTTACAGTGTAATCAGTGAGAGGATTCTGCAGACTGTTAGGGTTCAGCCTCCTGATGAGTCGGTGAAACTCCGACGAAACAGTTTGTCACAGCCCCTCGTTTGTTGTCCTCTTCTCTCTCTCTGCCTACGGTTTACCGGGCAGTTCTGTTTGTGACGATATATATGACGATATATATATGTTACATTTTTTTTGGATTTGGTGTTCGTTTTTTGTTGGATTGTTTAATCATTGGTTTTGGACTGATAAATTGTCGTTTTTTGTTTGGAGTGATGAAGTGTCGTTTGATTAATCATTGGTTTTGGACTGATCACGTGTCGCTGATTGTTGTTGATTGAAATTCTTTTGGAATTATCGATTTCTGCCATCCTGATAGATCAAAGCCGTCTCCCTTGGTTCCTCCCAACGAGCCACTGGTGCGTTGTTTTGTGGTATGCAAGCGCGAATCTGGTCACTTTTATGGCCAGGTTCGTGCTATGGTTGTGCGATGTTAGCACGAATCCGGCCAGTTTTACGGTTAGGTTCATGCTTTCTAAACTCGTTTTTAGCACGAGTGGGGTTATCCACCTCCTGTCATGTATTTGGCTGCTTTAGTGGCCCGGTTCGTAGTACCTTCTACAAGCACCAGTGGGAACTAACTGCTCCTTGCTCCTCCCCTCTCCATCGTTTAGCATTGCCCTGCTTTTTTTTTTTTTTTTTTTTTTTGCATTGCCGTCCTTTTTGGTAACTTACCCTCACTCTCATTCGTTTTGTGTGGTGGCAAACCTTTTTGTTTTATTTTAAAAAAGAAGAAAATTAATTTCAACAGCTGGAGTTTGATAGCTCAACGACCATAGTAAAACCACGATTTTTTCGAAAACTTGACGTCCAAAAATCCAATATTTTAAATTCCCCCAACGACCTCCGCAAAACAGGGTCCGCATCGTATTTACCTAAATCCCTACTCAATTTTCGAGGTTTTAATTGTTTTCATAATTTGAGAATTCGATTTCATTCTCACCAAGCAGTGTGGAAGATCGTTGGTAACAATTCTTTCCCCTTCACAGCTTTTTTTTTTTTTTCACTTCGTGCCGGCCCGCGGACAAAAAAGGCGAAGGCGGTCCCCAATTTTCTTGGTGGCGGCAACTTCGTTGCACTGTGCAATGAAAGTTGCAAGTGCGGCTAGGAGGAGAGGACAAAAAAAAAAAACCTTTTTGAACTTTGTGACATCCAGCGTCATCAGAGTGACCTAGCAAGAGAACATGCTGGATACGAAAGCAAGACGAAGATTTCTAAATCTAATCAACGCTGGCTGGATCTCTGAGATTAGATCTCTGAGATTAGATCACGGAGATTAGATCTCGGAGATTAGATCTGGATACGAAAGCAAGACGAAAAT